CAACTAGTTGCAGCTTATAAAATTTTGGAGTTGTAACGTGTTGCAACGGGTGACAAATAAGCGTCACATACTTGCTGTGCCATCTCTAGTCTAGGATAAAGATGATAAATTTTATAGCGCTTGCTTAAGTTACTATAATATATGCTGATTCAAGATCTGTATAATTTCTTATAAAGCTATTATACAAGAAAATGAATACTTTGTCAAAGAGTGTAGAGAGAAGTTTGCGCTTGACTACCTACTCTACATAAAGTGCAAATTACTTTTCTTTGAATGATCAAAACTACGTAATAATTAATTAGACGTGATAATTGGGAATTACTATCTAAAGGACTTGTTCATATCTAATTTTAATAACTACAATACATGTTGCTTTTATACAAATTTAAAATATAATTTTTAGATTATACGAATTCATGTTCGCTATATCACTTAAGTTCTATTGGTTCAATATTCATTCGCTCATTTGTTCGCTCGTTCGCTTAGTTATTTGTTTGTTCATTTATTTGTTCACTCGCTTGTTTGCTCACTTTACATGATTTGATCTTTATTCAATAAGATATGAAATATGTATAATTCAATATTATGAAATATTATGAGGAAAGATTATTATACAACAATATGTATTTTCTAACATGCTTAACATTAAATATTCTTTAATTAAATAATGCGTTATAGTTCACATGATTTAAAAATCACATGATACGATCCGGATCGAACCATATGTCACATGATACTACCCCGCTTTAGTGATCCCTGGAACTGGAAAAATCTGGACATTCAGATTCCAGTCAACAACATTGAAAACACCAACATTCGATTCGCCAAGACTAAACGAATCGGATGGTGTATTTTTGAAAGTGCGATTTTAATCCGGAAATTTTATAACTAAACCTGTGATTTTCTGGAACTAAAAAACCGGATTTTTGCCTGATTTTTTTTACAGTGTTTTGGTTATGTACCTAAGCTAACATATGTTTTGGATTCCATCTTTATTCTTAGACACTTTGAAATATATTATGAATATAAGAAAATATGAGAGTGTAATGAAAGAATTTTTTAATACAACTATAAATAAAACAAGTTAACTAATATTTTGCAACTTTAAATCTCAATATTATAGTTATAACAATAAATATATAATCACTCACCAAAATTTGCACACTTATTCATCATCGTGTACTACGAGAAAGGAGGCTTATTTGAGTGTTCAAAAATATCCAATGTACTTTTAATCATTTCGGATCCGTTTTAGGTTCAATTTGATTTGTTCTAAGAATTCCGTGGTAGTTACATAATGCTCACGTTGAAGCCTAAAGAGAAATAAATAATAATTCAATACCAATTTACTCTGTAGGACCAAGAAGTTATTAAATTTTCTAACTTACTTGTTCCCATGAATAGCTAATGCCAGATCTTTCGTCACTTTACCATCAACATCTACTGTATCAATACATGCTTTTTCAAGATCTTGAACAAATTTGAGTAGTGCTTCATTATTATCCAGACTTGCTCGATGACCGAGTCCACGCGTCCATGCAAAAATAGAAGCAATTGGATTTGTCGATGTTTCTTTTCCCTAGGTAATTAATTATAATTTAATAAGGTAAATGCGGATTATAATTTCATAAAAATATACCTTTTGAAACTCTCTATAATGTCTAGTGACTGTACCTGAAGAATCAAGTAAATCAAATTAGTTCTTGCACGATAATTACGAAATAACAAATCATCCAAAAATCCTTACCATGCGCAGCTTCTGCTTCCATGGTTTTTCCATCGGGTGTTACAAGAACACTAGTCATCAATCCCAGTGAGCCAAATCCTATATTAAGAAAAAATATATATATATATATTGATTTTTAAAACGAATTGATGATACTATCAAAATTTACCTTGAGCTAAAATGTCAGACTTTCAAAAGACAAGTAGTTTAGATAATTTTCCAGTAAGCAATATCAATTAATAATTACAAAGATACCTGGACATCTCTAAATATATATATATATATGGATTAAATAGAATTAAACAAGCCTCTTTAGAATTAGCGAGAATCAATTTCAACATACCCATCATAGTTCTTAGTTGCCCATACAAATCCCCCGTTTGATTTGACAACTTGAGCAACCATATCGTCAATGAGTCTATGTTCATACCAGATATTCTTGGCTTCGAATTGTTCTTTGTATTTTCTTTTTCAAATGAAATATTAAAAGTCTGCACCATAAATTTGAATACGTGTCATTGACTGTTATGAGAAAGACTAGTATACTTCTCGTAAACATCTTGAAAGATATCTTTAAAGCGTCCATCGTATTTTTTCAAGATCGTATTTTTAGTGCTGAGATACTTGAGAAAGTAAAATGCAAGAGTAAATATATATGATTAAATCTCAGAATAAGAATTGTCATAATCCATAAATACCAATGGCATTTCCTTTTTCAGCGCCATTTGGAAGCTACTGTTAGCAAAGCCTTCGATTGACTATAATAGGAAGAAATGGAGTTTAAACGAGACAAACAAATAAGAGAATTGGTGCGAATAAAAGAAAAAGACTTACTTCATCAACGTTATACATGGCCATAGCAACCCCAGGACTCTTTAATTGCAATCCCAGAATGAGTAATTTTAGATTTATAAGATTTATAATAAAAAATAAAAAGACAAATCACCTTAAATTCATAAACTGGCCACGACTGAGGTGAAGAAATGTTGTCATCGGGGATAAAGTGCAGTTCAAGCTTTCCAGGTTGATCAACAATAACATCTGTTGCTTTATACTTAGGGAAAAAGAATTCCATTAAATAAATATTAATACTGCCAATCATTATTATATATGAAAAGAAAGTCTCATTGAATACCTGATCACCAAAAGCATGTCTACCAATAACTATTGGTTTATCCCAATTAGGCACAATTCGAGGAACACTCTCCAATAATATGGGTTCACTGAAAATGATAAGGAATGTATTATATTTGTCAAATATGTTGTCTAAAATACCAAGAACGAGAACGTGAAAAGTAACTAACCGAAAAACTACGCCATTTAAAATATTACGAATGGTCCCATTTGGAGATTTCCACATTTCTTTCAAATTAAACTCTTTTTTTGTTGATTAAATAGAGCATCTATATTTTACATTACTTATATAATGTTACAAAGATTTTATAGTGCAAATAATATATTTTACCTTTGACTCTCGCTTCATCCGGTGTAATGGTCGCACATTTTATGCCAACATTGTATTTTTGAATTGCTTTAGCAGCATCTATAGTAACTTGATCATTGGTCTTTCATAGTCACATTGAGAATGTCATCTTTTTGATCAGATTAAAATATCAATCGTATAATATTATACTCACAGCGTCACGACTTTCAATTCCCAAATCATAATATTTAATATCGAGTTGAAGATATGGCAAGATAAGCTGATAGATAATGTAATAAAAGCAAAAAAAAAGACATTAAGATATACAATTAATAAATTGAATCAGTGAATTGAATAATAACATTTTCTTTGATATTTTGCCAAATTATGCGTGTCATTTCGTCGCCGTCCAAGTCGACAACGGGATTTTCAACCACAATGCGAGCATGCTGAGAATCTGAACAAAGTTACAAAGAACTCATATTTTAATATTATGTTCAGAAATTCAAGTTTTACAAATTCTTTATTAAATTACCCATTCTAACAGGTTCTGAATATATTTTAACACTAATACTTATAATTGCAATAATAAATATCTCGAAGTGTAACATGTTCCCCTTACTAACTTACACAGACGCATATGGTTAGGTTCCCATTTTTTGCAGGGAATAAAAGAATTATGCAATTTGCTTTGATTTCTTCGCGATACAGCAAATATAAAGTTACTTAAGCGAGAAATTCGCGACATGTTTTTCGAAGTAGAATTTGGTGAAAAAAACGAAAGATGGCAGGTCTGAAATGTGTGCCAGATTACGCTCAACCGATCATAACCAGCCACATCAGCAAGAATCCGCCAGGGGGGTCCACCAAAGCGGTCGGTCTACGGGCACGTACCAAATCACGTGCATTTACACGTACACTTAGGGCTGTTAAAAGTCTGGTTCGGTCCGATCGGCTCCAGAAGCCGAGTTTTTATTGAGGTTCGGTCCGAAAGA